AATGCTGAAATTAGAAAATAAGGCTGTATCTTCAATAGTTTAACATGCTTTTAGTACAATTTTATTTTGTCTAATTCCTACATTACACAGGAAATATTCTGGGCAGTGATGTGTGTGGGTATGGGCTATGGTTTGAATGTCTCCTCTAAAACCCATGTTGAAATTTCATTACCACTGTAGCAGTATTAAGAGGCAGTGTTTATCAGGGGGTGACCAGGTCAAGAGGGCTCTGCTCACAGAAATGGATTCGCGCCATTTTCTCAAGAACAAGGAGTGTGCCCCTACACATGATGCTAGCCAAAAGGTGGAAAAATGATGAAATATACTCCTGATAAACACATAAATCTGACCCCCATTTTTCTGTCTGCCTCCTACACCTGCTCTTCCTCACCATCCGACTGTCTTTCTGCCCTGTTATGACGCAGCTGGAAGACCCTCACCAGATGTAACTCCTTGACCTTGAACTTTCCAGCTTCCAGATCGATAAGCCAAATAAACTTCTATTGTGTATAAATTGACCTGTCCGCCGTATTCTGTTGTAGTAGCAGAAAGCAAACTAAGATAGCATGTTTTTTGACGACATCTGTGTATTCTGTTTATTGAGGAGCTCAAGGTCCATTGTTCTAGATATCTGATTAAGAAAATACCTTAAGAATCAAGTATATGTTTTCTCAAGGTCACCATATTATCACATTTGTTTGTTTAGATTATTACTATACTTCTAAACTGATTTAAAGGATCTTATAATTAAGAAGAGTAGATATAATAAAGGTTTTGTGATGCATTTAAAGAACAAAATTCAAACAGCAAAAAGGGGATTTCATTTAAGAGTGTACAAAGGACCAGTGACCAAGATATGAACAATATTTTTAACAGCAACTCACAAAAAAACAAAAACACAGACATTCTTTTTTAAGACTGTTCCTTCTCATTGTTCCTGAAGAAAAAAGTTGAGAAGAAACGTTAAATGACAGGAAACGTCTCTTTTCTGTAGGTCTCTAGACGGGCTTCTGAGAACTTTTATTGCTTTAATTCTCAGTTTCTGCAGAAATCATCCCTGTGCCAGACATTTTTCATTGCTTTCCTAATAGCTATTTGCTTAATTTTCCTTTCTAGAATAGAAATTAATTTAATGGCTAATGTTTCTGTTTGAAAATATGTAGCTTTCCACAATCCCATGAATCTGAAGATGACTGTGTGACGCAGTTCTGGGCAAAGAAGTGTAAATGGCAATTACAGGGTTGGGCTTTTCAGAGTTATTGCCTTCCTGAGAAATGGAGCAAACCTACACAATGTATCCTTTGCTCTTTACCTTTTCGCTTTTTCTCTTTCTAGAATTGAAACATAAGGTCTAGAAGGGCAATAGGGCTGTTCTGTGTGTGTGAGCATGAGGAAAACACATTGCTCTAAGGATGGCGAAGCTAAAAGCTAGAGGAAAGCACATTGCTCCAAGGATGGCGAAGCTAAAAGCTAGAGGGCATCTGGGACTTCCATGTCATCATATCATCATAACAACCCTGGACTTTCTGCCCGCAGACTATTACATAAATAAGATAAAATAATAAAATAAAGCACCTTCGTTAAGTTTCTGCGACATACAGCTAAAAACAACCCTAAATATTGAACTTTCATTATGCGTCCTAGTCCCAGTCTGGCTTAGGTGATCCTCCTTGCCTTTGTGACATTTCATACAAACCCAGTATATGTAGAGTTGCACCTGAGTCTCATTGCATTGTGCTGAAAGGTGGATACTGGAGGACAGAAAAAACAGCATTTTATAATTTGCTATAATTAAATAATCATAAGTCGGCTCTGCTCCAGATCCCTTATCTTAGCATTCAGGACAATAAACACAGTATTCAAAAAAGATAACACTTCTCTTATTTTTCATAGCTTTTATCATTGCCTGAGGGTACTGGGTAACCGCACCTCTCTCTGGAGGTCCATGAATAGAGTCATGACTGTATTCTTGATTAATGTAAGATATCAATAAATACTAGTTGAATATATAAGTTAATCAATCATTGAAATGAAAACTTTTTGGAGAACTGAATATTGTAGCTTTCTACTGATTTCATTTAAAGCAGAGAATAGACTGTCAATTTTAAAAAATTGATTGTTTATTCCAGGCAGACTAAAGGATGGCATATGTACATATATTTGAAAATCAAGGCTTCTATAAATGCCTGAAATAAAGATTTTTAAATGACTTACCCATTAGTTATAGAATTGGTGAGATTTGAGATTTATTTTTACATAAATATTAAATAACTTGTCTGTATTCCTACCCCACTGCAGAAGAATGGAGTTGGGAAGGACCGAGGCTTTCCAGCTATTTTTGTTCTTTTCAAGGTATGTTCAAGAATGCAATTAAATCCTTGGAGCTGTGCATCATGCGTTACCTTAAAAACTTTAAGAGTATATGTTAATAATTTTCAATCTCTAACATGTGAGTGCTAAGAGAAAGGTAAATTTGAGGAGACCACACCTTAATGGCATTTCAAGATGAGTTGAAATGCCCCACGGAACCTGGAGAGTAAACTTTTTAAGCATCACCCAGTTGGATATGTAATCATAACTTCACAAATGATAATTTTCATTTTGGTGAAGTTGATGTTGAGCTCTTGCTTCTGATAACATTTGTGCAATTTTTTCAAGCTGACTACCTCATTGTATAAAAAAAGAAATATGGTGACATCATAAATAATTGGAAAATGTAATTCTGAAAGATTTCATTCAAAGAGAAAGATAGGCTCTGAATTATGGCATCGGATTAGAGGATGGCTACAGGTAGCCGTTCTTTTTTAAATGTGTTAAACTGTGGTTTTGGGTAAAAATCATTTATTTTTTAAGAACTTCTGAATGGAGCAGGTAAATTCTAACATTAAAAGTTAGGCAAAATTACCTAGAATTTGAGGAGAAAGTAAGCAAAATATAAACTTCTACAAGTCAACCATAACCAATATATTTAATCAACTATTTAAAGAAGTGTCCATCCTAATATATATAAATGTGTTGATACTGAGGATAAGGGTGTATAGACAAATTTCATGGTGGGAGGGACCCCAAAAATATAAGTTATAGAAGATCAATTACATATCTAAAGTTGCAATACCCAAGGTCTTCAGAAAGGTATAATCCTGGTAAACAAGACTTGAGAATTACGTATGTAATTACATACTGAGTTGAGGGTAACTTGCATGATTGTGCTTCTAGCCTACTCCATAGGACAGGGTATCCTGCTTGGCAAGTGTCAGCCTCTAGCGTTCTCAGCAGGTTTATCTCTATAGTAAAGAAGGTTGTATAACAATCTATTAGCACAGTTTCTAAAGTTAATCCAGACTTTTGTCTGAGTTTTCTGATAATCATCTGATTTCCCGAATAGACATCTCTTCTGTGAAGAGATCCTTAGTATACAACTTTATGACTCTCTTGCCTGGTCATATTGATTATCAAAGCAATATATTATGAAAGCAAGTGTTCTGTCAGATCCCATCACAGACTTACACTTCCAAAGACAGTGAATTTTCATTGATTAGTACTATATGATTAAATAAAAGTAAAATAATTTTTAAAGGATGTAAAATAGAGAACTTTAGAGTTGGAAGGAATCTCAGGAAGTATGCAGCCCAATTCTTTCATTTAACAAAGAGAAAACCAAGGCCCAAAGGGGTAAAAGATCCAAGGTCACCAGCTGTTTAGCCTAAGGGCAAGGAACAGAGCCAATATCATCTCACTCCCAATCCAGGCTTCTTTTAAAGAAATTGAACAAGACAAAGAAAGAGAAATTTTCTTTTACCAATGGTTCAGACTTAAAAAAGAAATCAGAATTAGAAACAACAGGTCTATCTGGTTAGAGCCGACACTGATGGAACAGGCTGGTATAAATTGAGAAGATAATTTGGCACCGCAATGAGTATGGAGTTAAAGCTGTGAGGAAATTTCTTCAGGTTTCATTGAACACACTTTACCTTTAGACATTCAATTTCAAAGCCCCCGGAAGAGATGGACCTGTTCCTGCCAAATTTTAGGTTCTTGCTCCTCATACCGCATGAGGACCAATGACTTCAAGTCTTCTGTTAGTTAGCTTGCTCTCTTTTCTGCTATTGATAGTCAACATGTCTTGTGATTTAACTGAAACATTTAAGCAACTGAAATAAACATTCTACTTTTATGAGGCATAGATTTGGGAGCAATAAAAATTGAGAAATCACCTTTCCTTTAAATAGGTCAAAGTAACTGCAAATGGAATCTTGTGGGTGCTAGGTAAAGGAAAGGAAAGGAACTTCATCTTTTCCCTCCAAATCAGAGAATGGACCAAATGAGTGACTCTCAACAATCTACTTATTTGAAGAAATGTATCGATTATGAAATGCACTTATTATGACTCTCACTTTGGGATAATCATAAAACCAAACATTTTTCTCATGACTCTACTCCACTTTACCATACCTGTAATTTAGCAAATAGTCATCTGTTAATCATAATTTTCAGGTAAAGGAATATCACAGCAGCTGTTAAAAGCTCAAAGATACTGATATCTTTCTAAAAATATTTTGTTGTTTCAAGGACTGGAAAAGTATACAGTACTAGGCTGAGTAACTCTTAGGGGAATGTCACTGAGAATATTACAGCTTTGATATGGCTTTTCTGATATGTAACCTTGAGTCCATTTGGCTGCTGGAGTTATTCCCATTTTGCACATTTTGATCCTGGGTGCTGTCTCTAGGAAGAAAAGAAGTAGAGAACAACTTTCTATTGTCCAGGCATTTAGAGTTGAACTGGAAATACAGACCATACACAAGAGACAGCTGAAGAGTTAGTATATCTTGCTCTGCCTTGTCTCTGGCCTCTACTTACATTGTACTGCTTATACCTACATTGGTTGAGTTTTTTTTATACCGGAAGAGAGAAATTCACCATCATATATTACATCAAACCTGAATAGAAACACGTGAAGCACAAAAACAAAAGCAGATTTACTATTAACTCACACTCACCTGAAACATTCATCTCGATTCGAACTTAGTTTAACTCATAGGAACTGGTGTTATCCTCTGGGACAGTTCACACATCCTCCAGAATTTAGAATTTCTAAACGAATGTCTGGGTGATGGCAGAGTATCCCGGCAGCCTACACTTTAAAAGGCTCAAAATGAAAAAAAGGCACAGTAAAATAAATCACCAGGGCTACTTAGTGGTAAATACCTCATTTTCTTGTTGTGTTTACCCTTGTGACCCAACAGAACAGTAATGTATGTCCCCTCACTGCATTCTTAATAAGGTTATTTACACTGCATATCCAATGAGTTTATGCTGTATGCAATAAATTCTCAGCTCTGAAATGTGGGTGAGACTGTAGTCATCATTATTGGAGGAATTAACCTTGTAAATGAGGAGCACTCTTACTGAAGCTCTGGATTTTGATTATTCAAGAGGGACACAGGAATACAGGCAGTTTTCTGCAGAATTATAATGATCAGCCTCACAAAATACCACTCACTATGCATAAGTAATAATATCTTGGCAACGAGTGAACAATTCTGGCTTCATATTTTAAATGTCTTGGTACTACCTTGCAATTTTTCACACCAAAAGAGGAAATAAATATTGTGAATATCTCTGACCCATAGAATTAAGGTCTTGTTCATCTGCAGCGGTCTGAATCATGAACTGGTTGGGCTTGACGAAGCAAGGAGGAGGAGCCTGGTGGAGTAGAACCTTCTCAATTCACACTGCCTATTTTCTCACAGCCCCCAAATATGCCCCAGAGATTCTCTATGCCCCACCCACCATTCAACCACACCCACGTGACTTCAACTTCCGCAGTTAAGACACCTCAGGATAAGCTGGAAGTTTATTAATTTCCTGATTTGTTAAGAGGCTATAGGAATCTAAGGGTAAGATGAAGCTATTGAATTAAAGCTCAAAAATGGGTTACTAGGAATCAAAAAGAAAAACTCATATTTTCTCACTTAGGTAAAAACCTGAGATAATGTTATGTGAATCTAATTCCAGCCAGTTTTCTAACAAAGAAAAGCCTCTGACGATTAACATGGCGCATGAATGTTCTTCCACTGATTCTTTCGCCATCAATTCATGACAGCTATATATATCTTGAAGAGGTACAAAAAGAGAGTATTTCAGAGAGTCTGTAATTCAGATGAATATTAACATTTTTCCTAGTAATTTGGAAACAAAAGCTCATCTATCTGATGTCTTTCAAGCCCATGTATAAAACCTAACCACCATGCCTAGGAGTGAGGGAGTAGGTGGATGGAGAATTTTTCTCTTGATCTCATACAAATACTTACAGCATCCACAATAGTAAATATAAATCCCATTGCATATTATGGTATAGGCAGAGTTACAGGGTGCACCTATTTGTATAAATTGTAAAGCTGAGATTTGTGCATTTTAGTATCTATAAATTATATCACAAAATAAAATTGTAAATAATAATAATAAAGTAGGGGTGGGAAGTGGGCATCATAAAAGATAAAATGAGAATAGCTGAATATTGATACATTTTGAAGCAGGATGAGGGGTACATAGGGGCACATTATGCTATTTTTTTTACTTTGCATAGGTTTGAGATTTCCAAAAATAAAAGGTTTTAAAAACACTTATAGTTTTAGTTTCATTATCCCACAGTCACGGCTTTTATCAATATTAGGACCATGATATATATTTGACATTTAACAATGCAGGCTGAAGACATCACCTTCACAGCGCTACCTGAAGGAAACGGCTTGACATGTCCTACCCTTGGTTTTTTGCTTCAATAAAGATAGGACCTTAAAAAAGCATTGTCATAGGCATCAAATATTATTCTACGGCCTCAAAAGTCAGAGATACCTGAGCAACTCTACACAGCTGGGGCTTCTTACATCTGTGTTGTTTCCATCTCGTTCCACCACCTTAAATATACTGAGCCTACTGGGACTTACCAATGCCCTCTTGCTACCGACAGCCTTTATTAATTCTATTACTATATTTCTGAGATTCTCAGATTAAGAATACTCTGTACACAGCATCCTACTTAAAGTACTGATTCTTGAATACTGACGTCTTTCTAAAAATGTTTAGTTAATGTTCAAGCTTTGGTACAATTAAAAGCGATGGTAAAACTGCTTTATAAGGACAGATGTCTATGTATTATCACATAAGAAATGGTTAGTGCTCAATAAATGTTTATTGAATGAGTGAATGATAGAAGAAAGATATTTAAATGATTTTAAATTTTTTCCTCAAGGATTTCAAAGACAGAAGTAAAAAAAGAGCAGCAAAATACTTAAACTAAAAGAGCATTTTAAAGATTTCATATTTAGTGTCTCTAGGAAGCATTTATGAACTTATTGTGGGCTAAGAAATACCACATTATACTGAGGCATATTTAAAGTACATATAGGATTTTTTAATTATAGAAAGGACTATTGGTCTAATAGCTGTGAAGAGAAGCAGTCAAATCTCTAGGGGAAAAAAATGCCTCTACTTACAACACATTTATTACAAGGATAGCCTTAGTTTGCTAAGTTTGATTTTGGTGAAAATTGGCTTTAAAAGATCTAAGTGTTGAAAGCTAAAATGAGGCAAACGGCTTTGTGGAGTCTAAATTAGCTGAATAGTTACTTTTTCTCTCCTCTTTGCTACAGTTTATGTGCCAAATATTAAATTGCAACAGCTTAAGAATTCAAATAATCCTAAGCACTCATCAACAAGGGGACTATACTAAATCCACACCAAGCATCCATACAATGGTTTTCTTTTCATAATAAAGAGTAGCAAGTCAATCATTATCAACATCAAAAGCCAAAACCAATCAATTCAAATCGAGACAAAAATCAGCTGGTTCTGCTCCTGCCATATTGTGGTGCCTATGTGTCCAATCCTTTATTTCAAAGAACATCAGAGAGTCAGTGCTCTTCCTTCTAGAAACAGGCCACAAGAAGTATATGCAAACATCTAACATATCACATGAAGACAAAGCACCAATTCAATGGACTGAGTGCTCATAATCTGTGGAAAATTCAGAAGACGTCAGAACAAAAGCGTCTTCACACTGTATGCACTTCATACACAGCCTTTGAAACACGAAGCTTTGCAGCAGTGAAAACACAAAATTGTGCAGTCCTGTCAAATTTTACTTTGACACATGTCAAAGGGGCATAATGTCCTGAAGGAGCATAATGAAGGGCCCATGACTAAAGTGAGGTGGATCAGAAATGAAAGGCAGGCGGGGCACGGTGGCTCACGCCTGTAATCCCAGCCCTTTGGGAGGCCGAGTAAAATATACACATACACACACACACACACACACACACATATATGTGTCTATATGAGAGAGAAAGAGATCTCGCTGCACAGCTCATTATAGAGGAAGAATACTATAGCTGACATGTCATACATATGACTAACCATTCAACCCCAACTTTCTCTCAGTGGCAACTTTTTGATGCTTTTTTCCTTCAGGGCTACAGCTTGTTTTCTTCTTAGAGGCAGCTTAACAATGACTTGTGATGGGAATTTTGTCCTAAGAATGTTTAGTTGTGGGTGTAATGGCTTAGAAAACAGCCAAGAAAGCAGAGGAAGGTCTCATATTGGTTTGAAATTCATGTGGAATGAAAACATTCCACACCTATGGTCAGCTCCCGGACTGGGTTAGTAGCCTCGTGCTGAATATTATAGGCTAAAGGGAGACTAGTTTGAAGAGTGGTGAGAGGTCCAGACATGATGGGCAGTAATGGAAAGTCCTTGGATCAGCTTAGAGCTTCATAAAGCTACATGTCATGACTACCTTAACTTGGACTAAAAATTTTTTCACTCAGTTATGCTTTAAAATTAAACTCTGGCTGGGCATAGTGGCTCACACCTGTAATCCCAGCACTTTGGGAGGCCAAGGCGGGCGAATCACCTGAGGTCAGGAGTTCAAGACTAGCCTTGCCAGCATGGCAAAACCCCATCTCTACAAAAAATACAAACATTAGCAAGGCATGGGGTGCATGCCTATAATCCCAGCTACTCAGGAGACTGAGGTACAAGAATCACTTGAACCTCGGATGCAAAGGTTGCAGTGAACCAAGATCATGTCACTGTACTCCAGCCTGGGTGACAAAGAGAGACTCTATCTCAATAATAATAATAATTAAACTCTCTGAAATGGAAAAAAATCTATCAAAAATAATAATCCCATAATCTTTGATCCAGTAATTCTAATTCAAAAAATGATTCCTAAAAACAGTTACCCTTGAGTATATTAATATGTATACGTGATCGTACGTGATCGTTTGGGTATTTCTTTTTTTTTTTGGCAGTTCAGAAGGGCTGGGCAAACTTTAATTAAGTTCATCCTCTGAAAATAAGCGTTTATCACGCAGACATTTAAAAAAAAACAATTTACCTCTCCATATACTGACCTAGAACTAGCAAACTATGAGCTGGCACCAAAATGATGAGAAGGAACTATTTGCATGATGATCTTGGATTAGTACATAAAAGGCTTAGGTGATGACAAAAGCAAAACCCTCCAGGCAAGATGTCCTGAAGGAGCATAATGAAGGGCCCATGACTAAAGTGAGGTGGATCAGAAATGAAAGGCAGGCGGGGCACGGTGGCTCACGCCTGTAATCCCAGCCCTTTGGGAGGCCGAGGCAGGCAGATCACAAGGTCAAGAGATCGAGACCATTCTGGCCAACATGGTGAAACCCCATCTCTACTAAAAAATACAAAAATTAGCTGGGCGTGGTAGTGCGCACCTGTAGTCCCAGCTACTCGGGAGGCTGAGGCAGGAGAATTGCTTGAACCTGGGAGGCGGCAGTTGCAGCCTGAGATCGCGCCACTGCACTCCAGCCTGGCACCTGGCAACAGAGCACGACTCTCTCAAACTAAAAAAAAAGGAAAGAAATGCAAGGTAATGGGGTTTGAGATCTGGGCATGGGGAAGATCCTTGAAGGTCATGGCAAAGAATGACACTGTACCCTAGAAATAATGGCTCCAGCATAGTATTTTAAGCAGATACCATGGTTTATGTTAAAAGTTGTCACTCTATACTCTGTAGGAACATGAACTATACAGGGGTAACAGCAGAGTGGGGATACAGCATAGGTGGCCGTTGCAGCAGGCCACGCAAGAGGCTGAGTGTGACGCAGG